TTTGCATTTCCTCTCGCATTTGCATCTGCAAAACACAACCAGCCGCACTCGGCTTGGCTTATTTTCTTTTTTTATTTGATTATAAAGAAATTGTGGCGATTACTGTCACATGTTTGGTGTTGTCTTGTCTTCTGCGTTTCACATCCTAAATGTGATGGGTTACCATCAGCAACAACAAAAGGAAAACAAATATTTTAAGTTCACGCTGATATAAAGCTGGCTGATATGCACTTATGACCATTGCTGTAAACAATGTATACAATTTTGCAACTGTTTTATGAAAAGATTAATGCAGTTATGACTTTATAAAATGTTTAGCTTTGTGTTATGCTGTCCTGCTGCTTGCCTGCAGGTGGTACCATGGAGCCCTGAGCCGGGCAGAAGCAGAAAGTCTGCTGACTCTGTGCAAAGAGAGCTCCTACCTGGTGAGAAATAGCCAGACGTGCCGAAACGACTACTCTCTCTCCCTCAGGTAAACATGAGTGTCCCTGAATGCTGCGGTGTGGAGTGCATCAAAAAGAAGGAAAAAACCCTTCATGTTGTCTTACTTCAATATTACCGCACTCTGTTAAAGGGTAATTATTCCCTTGTGTACTTGGCTTTAGGCCCTTCCGAAATTTATGTGATCTGGTCCCCCACGCACCCACCCATTTGGGTATTGTTGCACATCATTTTTCTAGTTTCTCTGTTCTCACTTGGTTACAACAACCTTTTTTTTTCTGGCTTTTTTTCTCTCAGCAAGTGTCTTTTTTTTTTTTTTTTTTTTTAGTCTCTTTAATAACCAACATGGAAACAGCTGCTTGGAAAAGATCATAGGCATGCTGGGAATTGCTCCCAATCTCACATCTGTATTATTTTGAAGCAGTGAGCTGAAAGAGCACAGGAATTTGTTTGCACTCTGGTGCAATTTTTTTTTTTTTTTTTTACCAAAATATTTGTGGATTCTCTGAGCATATTATGTGCTTAAACCACTGATCAAATCAGCAAATTAGCAAAAGGGAAAAAAGAAAGTGAAATGTAGCTGCAAAATGGATGAAGGGAAACTTGAACAAACTGCTGCCAAAGCCCTGTTTTGGTAATGTGATAGAATCTGATCTAAAATATTGTTTTGATGGAAGAAAGCCAGATGTGTAAAAGCTCAAGCTGAATTTTGCGTTCAGAATAAAAAAAACGCATTTTTCAGGTGCTCGAGTTTGCTTTCATACCACATGCGTGTTGGGTTAAATAAGGGTATTTGTAGAAGGTGATGACATAACAAATACAAGGAAAAAGAGAGGTGCAGGAAAGACCTGTTTGAACTCAAGATGTTGTCTTTAATGATTGCTATCTTTACCACCAACGCACCAACAAAATTACAGGAAGATGAACCCAAGCTTCTCTAAGCGATGATTTTGGCCATTGTTTTTATCTTGGATCCCTAAACTTCACTTTGCAGAATGAATAAGTTGACATTAAAGCTAGTTCTGAGGGTGCATAGTGAGATTAATGGTACATTAATTATATCAATTAATAACCTATTCCCAATCAGATTTTCTGTTTCATAGACCCTTCACTAATACCACAGAAGGAAGCCGTGCAGTAAAAGTTACGTGTGTGTGTGTGTGTGTGTGTGTGTGTGTGTGTGTGTGTGTGTGTGTGTGTGTGTGTGTGAGACATAGTCCCAGAGACCTGAACACATTTGGATTAAATACCTATAAATGAGTTTAAAACACAGTATTTTTATACATCTAAGTGTGTCACATGACTCTTTACGTTAGAGGAAAAGTGAAGGATTTGTATTTATATGTTTGACACCAGTTTCAAAGTTTGACATTTAGAGATTGAGGCTCGGTTATATAAACAGTCATCAGTGATTCACAGTGAGAAGGAATAAAACTGTCGGCAATTCATACCAAAATAATAGGCACAGATGCTGACTCCTGGTTGAATGACAACTCTCCAGTTCCCTTTACAGTTTTTTGTTGTTGTTCCTGTTGAAACTTTTTAATTAAGCAAAACTGAATGGGCTGATTGTGTGCGGCCCACCCCAAGCAATGATGATAACACAATTGGAATGTTGATCTGAGACTGCAGGAATACTTTCATCACAGAAAGCTGTGTGGCGCTCCGATTGTTGTACGAAACATAACGTGACATATTTGTTCCAGGTGGCAGTTTTGATAATTATAAGGTCTTAAAACATTCTGTAATGCTCATGCACACACACAAACGCACACACACTTTCATTCTCAGTCTTTCAGTGTACTAATTAACATTCCTGTCAGGCAAGTTGAGGCTCATCTGCACTGTCTCTTTATTGTCAGGAGCTGCAAAGGCTTCATGCATATGAAGTTCACCCAGTCCCCAGACGGCCGCTACGTCCTCGGAGAGAACAGCCCTCCGTTCTCGACCATCCCCGAGGTCATCACCTACTACACGACACACAAGCTGCCAATCAGAGGAGCCGAGCACATGTCCCTGCTGTATCCTGTCCCAGTGCAGACCCTCTGACGGTGACATACACATCCTGATTTTCATGGTGCTACTGAATATATTCTTATATACATATATATTCTTAGTATTTACCTATTTCTACCTGTGTCCTACATGCTATGACACTGCCATTCTACCTGCACAGCTTGCAAGAGATTGGACCATCTGGTGCCATCTTTTCTGTTTTTACTTTAATCCCTGTATCTACACTGGCCGCTTACAAGAGAGCTCAGTGCTTAAGGAATCTGTGAAACAGTACATCACTGAAATCCCTCTATTTATCTGTCACGGACTCTTGAAAGTCAGCAATTGTTGATAATAGGATTGTTAGCTCAGTACTTTCACCTCACAGAGGAAAAAGACAAAATCTAGTCTTGAGACGGTAGAATTTATGTAATCTTGCATGGAGTTTTGTCTTTATTGCTGTCAAATGTGAAGCAGACTTAAAGAATATTATTGGTGGGGTCAGGGTGGCCTTAGCTTGTGCCAATAATCCAGTTTTTTGTTTGTTTGTTTTTTCTTGTCACATGAATTTCATGTTTTTAAACTGACAAAAGGTCAAAGTGATTGGAGCTCTGGTGTGAGGATTGAGAACTAAGTTTAAAAGGTTGGAAATGCAGTTGAAATCATGCTGTGACTACAAGCAGTATTGTTGTTATATATATATATATTTTTTTTAAGTTTTAGTTACAATTATGAACCAAACACTACATATTTAAGCCGGACCATCTCTGCGCCCTGGGGTTTTCTCTCTGCGCGTTTCAGAGGCCCGCCAATGTTACTTGATGCTGTAGCCGTTTTGCCCTGCAGTGTTCTTGGCTCCTCTTGTTAATGTGTGAACAACACAAAGTTGACTGCATCACACAATAACAGACTCCTGCAATACTAGTTTAGAGAATATTAACTACAGTATTATACTGAAAGCTTGTGGCTTTGTGAACATGATTATCAAAGAAGCTTTGGTATTTTAATGACTGTGCTATTTTATAAAATTTTAAAACCCTGTAAAAAATAAAGGTTGTGGTGTTTTCAGTTTGTCTCTGCATTCCTTTATTTTTTTTTTTTTTTTTTTTTAAATAAATAATGTTTCATATGAGCTTCATAATGATAAATGTAATAATGTAAATTAAAATTTGGAATTGAATTAAAGGTAAGTTCAAGTTACTCCTCCAGCACACAGTTTAGCTTAGAAAATTACACACGCTTCTTTTTTCCCAGATGGAATGATGGATTTTTAAAAAAAAGAATATGGTGCACAACTTCGAATTTATTTTGGATTTTTTTCTAATCCACACACTGTCAAAATTAAACAAGTTTAAAATGGTAGGATTCAAGGTTGTGGCTTTGGTAAGGAAATTCTGGATGTCCTGTATTGGTCTGCTTTATCAGTTTATGTGCAATTACAGTCACAGTCCTGTTGGAACCCCCAGTTGTTGTTGTTATTTTTGGGGGTTTTTTGTTGTTGTTTTTGTTGTTGTTTTTTTGTTGTTGTTTTTAAAGTGCCCTTTCTCACTTTCCTGTCCCCCAGCCCATGTCTGTCCATCTGTAACAACTGAAAATAAAAGAAATAACAACAAAGGCTGATCAAATGGGCCAATATAGCAAGGCCATGATCAATTCTGACGGCTAAAGAACCACAAGGGACAGGCAAAAAAAAACACCACCATACCTGATAGCTGTTGATGTTTGTAGGTTTGACAGCCTCACCTTGTCATTCTAGCCAGCTCAATCTTTGTCTCGTCTGACCATCAAACTTTTCTTTAGTAGGTTTTCGACTTCTTTATGTGGTCAGCTACAAATTTCAGCTGAGCTTGTGGACATTAACCGATTTCCTCTCATCTGACGATGACAGTTTGGGTCTTCCAGTCCTTTACAAAGTGGTGATACATCTGAATAACTTGTATTTATGCGCAATTGTTTGATAGTTGTACATAACTACAAAGCTTAACAATGTTTTACATGGTGGAATGTGCAGTTGTTTAGAAAGAGGCCCTTCCATCTTGTGCACAGTTTTCAGTCTTAGCTCTTCACAGAGTTCCTTGAAATTTCCCATTGAGTATTGATCACTCTAGTGAGTGCTGTCAAACATTTTATACCGATGATATGACTGATAAGTCAGTCTCAATCACTGATGAGAAATTAATTTGCCTTGGCCAGGTCAGTTGTCTGGACTGGAGAAATGAATCCAAATTTGTGCATCTAATTCTTGTTTTTTAAGGTCTATGCTATACAGTCCTTCCAATATAGGGAAAAAATGTTAAAAGGAATCATGATATTCATGCCCATTTGGAGTTTATGTAAACAAAAATATAGTAACTAAATCTTTAGTATTTTTGCAGTTGAAGAATGAAGGAAGTATGAATGCTAGTTAAAGTTAAATGTAGGTCTTATCTCACATTGCAGCTGTTCACTGCCAATGACAAAGTGAGAAATTTATGCGAGCAGCAAGTGGGAGACGATCTCGCTTTGCCAAGCACATTCAACATAGGCAGGTGTACTGTCACCTGTTACTACAGCAACCAGCAGGTTTCGGTGTCAACACAGAAAGCTGCTACCTCAGCTGCAGGACAGGTAAGTATAGCTTTAAGGTAACTGGAAAAAGTACTGTTATATGTTAAAGCTAATTGTGTGAATTGGTTTCTATTTATAGTGTAAGCAGTTTTGGAAGGGTATAATGCACTTGGCTTTGTAATGGACGCTACAGACAAAAATTATACATAGGTATTAAAACTCGTTTTGCCTAGACAACTAATCAGGCTTGTTACACTACTTGGAAAAAAGCCATTAGTCATTCCTCATGCGTTATGTTTTGCTTCCAAACTGTCAGACTTTCGGTTGTTTTTCAAAAGTGATTTCAAGCAGTAGTTGTAATAATAAAGAAAGGGAAAAGTCGACGTAGATCTGACTCATGACCTATCAGAAACGGTCTTAGTGGAAAAGATGTCAAGAAGTTATTTTTTTTAGGAAGTGAAACGAGGAGAAAAGAATCTGAGTTTGGAATTTTTAAGCTGACAGCATCAACTGTATGTACAGTAAAGGTCATCAGGGAGGTGCAACAGTTAGTGTCTACAGCATCAGTAAAACATCTGTAGAGCTGTCATTGTTTGGCGCCATTTCAGCCAGCGTTGTTGGAGATCTTTAAAAGAACCGACTCAATTATGAACACAGGAAAGTATTGTCAGGCTTTGATCCATCATGCATTATCATGGAAAGCATGTGATTGGCAACAGCTTGATTTTTCAAGATGGTAGTGATCTCTGTCAGTGAAGTAAAAGCGTACCTGGATAGAAAAACATTATTAAAAACTATATCAACATTATTGAAGCATTGCAGGATCATCTTGATAGAAAATGGAGCAAAAGTTAGCCAACATCTAAAGAAGAGCTTTGAATACCCTTCAAGAACACTGGAGAACTATACCAAAGTAACGATCATCCTAATGCTTTTATCCAGACATTGTATCGTCATCTTTAGGCAACTAAAAGTTATGAATCCCAAGCCGCTCAAGCATTTCAGCTTCATCTGAGACTACCATTATGATAATGATCGACCAGAACTACTGACAAATGTGCTGTCTCAGATATAAAAGTATGTGGTTGTAATTGAGAAACTCTCTTTTGTTACAACTGAATCATTTTAGCAGCAAAGCGTTCTCCCAGTTGCATAAAGTGTTTCCATGGCGACTCGGATACAGCAGTTGGCTCAACCCAAACCAAACAGACTAAGATATCCAGACCGGTAGGTCTGAATCGCACCCTTTAACGAAGCTCTCTGTCTTTGTCGCCTTCTTTTTCACAAATGGGCTCTTTTCTGTTTTTCAGTCGGTCTGTTTACTGGCTGGATAAGCTTCCACCAGAAAGGAGCGGATTAACCACTAAAATTGGTCTGTGTACCAATCGTTTCCTTTTTTCTTCTCTTGGCAAACTTGATCTTTGCTGCCTTTTTGTAACACCATGCATAATTGTTATTTTGTTTTCAACAGAGTTAACCCCCCGCTGGTCGGACTTGTGCATAAGTAGAAAGTTCTACAATCAAGTCACGTAAATATAATAGACTTCTAATAAATGCGCGACCCATTTTGGGCAGTTTCTTAATAACTTTATGGGGTGTTTTTTTTTCAGAAACATTTATGTGCTCTTATACGTACGATATGAGTCAGTTTTCTAGTTTCTTGTTCCTTTTTTTTTTTTAAAGTTTTTAATGTTAGATTTTCCCACAGCTTTGTCACCCTGTCCCCATTAAGATCTTATGTTGTACTAATATTATTAGCAAGATCCAGTAAACCAAGATAAGAAACTTGTTTGATTGGATTCAAGTGATGAAACTTTCATCATCAGTGTTTGCAATCAGACCTCTCAGAATTTTCTGTGTGCACATCTGCAGCAGAGTAAAGTGCAGACCTTCATGAAGCCTGAAGCTTCTGAAGCCTTCCCTTTAGAGACATAACAAGAAAACCTATTTATTGTAATTTTCTTGCCACTACACATGTCACAAACAAACACGTCAAATTAGGCAGTAGCTAAACTGTACCTGCAAGACCTTTTTTTTTTAAAGCTCTCTCCATCTTTATGTCCTTCCTCAGAATTTCTCCCATATGGCAGGTCAGTGAATGGGCTCTTAAGGCCGTCCCATCCAAACGGGTGTGTCATCTGGCTCAACCTCGGGCGCCTGCAGCTGGTTGGCAGCCCGCCTGCCCATTGTCGGTCCCTGTGAGTAACACAAACTATTTCCTGAGAGAAAACGAATATGTGGTGCATTGTTAGATGACTGCTAGTTTACCATACCTGCCACAAAGTCTTTTAAACTCCACAGCCTACTGTGTTAGTTAGGCCAGAATGTCCGGTATTTAAAGCACCAAAACTTGAAAATATATTATATAATTATATTATAACTTTCAACAGAGCCATCTTGTGTTTTTTACTGGTTTTGTATTCTGAAAGCATGAATAGGTCCAGGTGTTTTGTGGTTGGCTTTGACTTTCCCTTCAAGGAAGGTTAGGATGATCAAAGTTAATAACTTCCCTAATCCTGAGACGTGTGATTGCCTGTACATCCTTTCAACTTAATTTATCTAATTAGGCGTGGTGTGATACATTTCAATTTAAAGTGTGTGACATGACTATAAATCCATGTTTCATATGGACAGGATGAAAAATACCTGACTGACACCATTCTTCTTTGTGTTTAATAGGCTTATTTACAAATTTGATTCCAGGTAAGCACACAGACAGCTGTTGCCACTTTACGGATCTGCCAGCTCGCCCAGCCAAAGCGAAGGCAGGTTCTGGAGAAATCCAGGCACGAATCTAAACATGTACAAGTAATCCACCTGCCCTCTAAAGCATCTCCACACATAGAGCTACTCGCCAGTAAGCCTATTTTTTTCCACCATGCAATTTTCACCTGCTTGCTTCTTTGCTTGTCTAGGCTCTCAGTCACCCAGGTAAAGGTTCTCTAGAGAGCTTGAAATAAAGGCAACTGGACTTCTTTAGGTTACTGAAGTAGCTCCACTTCTTGTCCGTGGGGGTTCGTCTGAATACAAATTTGTTTTTAGAATTGAGTTGCTTTTTTTTTTTTTCTTCTTCAAGCTGTCTAGACTTTTTGCATGTGTTTAAACTTGCATTGTATTGTCTGCTAGTTGACACAATCACCTTTGTTGCCCTAGCTCCGAAGAATGACCACCCCGAGTTCAAAGGAGACCGCCCAGTGTGCTGGTCCGTTTCCAAAGCTGCAAAGAGCTACATAACCAGCCAAAGACTTCTTGATCTGTCCAGTCCTAAAGAGAGGAAGGCTCTGTATGAGGGATATGACCCATACACGATCAGCCGGGGAGCCCGATCAGCCAGCCCCTCTCCCAGAATACAACAGCTCTGTTTGCCTCTGTCTCGCAAATGCAGCTCAGAGTAAGAGCAGTGACGGCAAACACCGGTCCCCAGAGAGCTGTTGATTGTTCCATTTTCCTTGCCGAAGACTGTAATCGTGATGAAGTGTTTTCCTTGTGAAATAATGACTAAGCTTTGTTATTTGTTCTGCTGCGCGAATAGCTATGCACATAAGTAAAAGACTACTGCAACATCTTAGTGTTTAAGCCCTTGGATATTTGCCACTGTGGACTTACTGTATTAACTGAAGATTTCCTGATTTTACCCGTCTAATTTTTGCCAGGATAAAGCTGCTGTTAAGTGTAATTATTCTCCTTATTTTCCTTAAAAACATGCTTGTGTGTGAAATATCTTTTTTAAAGACTATTGTTGTGCATCTTTGGTAATGATGAACAACATGCTTAATTGCAGGTTGATTAGACCAACTGGGGGGATATTCTTACCCACAGATGAAGTTTCTTTGTGATATTATGCAGCACATATCCTGTAGTACATCCTTCACGTCTTAATTGCTTTTATAGTTATTGTTAACACAAGCCCCATGCGTCAGTTTTACACACTGCAGACTAATTTCGAGGCTAAGAAAGGTAATAGCTGAAAGGAAACGATTGTTATTATTATAGTGCAGATGCGCCTAATGGTTTTGGAGTAGTTTCTGTGTAAATTGGCCACAACATAGAATGCGGGAAAGTGAAACCTGTTTTTTTTTTTTCGTTATAGAAAAAGTTATGAGTTATTTGTGACGTGTAAATGTCATGTAGGCTATATAAAAGTGACCGTTTGGGGGGACCTCGATCCGCAGTTAGGCCACACATTGGGCACGGAGTGGGGCGGTACTGGTGTGTTTACTTCGAGGTGACAAGCGGCAGATTTTGCGCAATCGCTGTAGATGAACTCTACGAGACGGGTATCATTCGGGCATAATCCGGTAAGAGGAGTTCGGATTTTGACATTTTGCAGCCGCTCGTTTCGTTTCATGAATTGCAACTTTGGTTGAAACTCACATAGTGCATGTTTGTTCTGCTGTTTAACGTGATTAACGCTTCAGTAAGCAAACAGAAAAACAACCTGTCAAGCTGCTCAAGCGTTAGCGGTTTGTTGACGAGAAAATCTGCTACCACAATTCTTAATGAGTGATTAAAAGTGATTGTTGCTTTATTCCTTGAGCTCTCATTGGTGCTTTCGCGCATCGTTATTAGTGAGTTGGTTGAGAAGTCGGCTTTTTCAGTTTGAAAAAAAAAATCGCCCATTATTTGCAAATTTCGAGTTCACTTCGTTGCGATGTTTTACCCAAATCTATTTTGACCAGCTGGTCAAAAACAAAGAAGAAAAACAAAAAGCATCGTAACCATTTCGCTATAACGCATTTTAAATTAAATTAAATAAATGTGGAAAGTGATCAAGAATGACCAGAAAGCCAAAGTGCTCCAGCTGTTACTGTCCTGTTGTGAACCTGCTGAGTTACAATAGAAACAGATCGCGAGAGCCCATCAAATAAAAACTGGAGTAACAGTGATCCAATAAAAAAATTTTATTGGGGTCATCCTGTAGTTCAGTGATTCGTTTATATGCATAATAATAATAATAATAATAATAAAAAGGAACACTTGAGCAATGTTTAACTCTGACTAACTTCCAACCTTCAAAGATTTGATTATTTTGATTTCTACTGAACTTGTTTTATCATTTTGTTTTGATTAATAAAGATCCAGTGTGTGACTTAAGAATTTCGTGATTTTTTTTTCTTCAATATATTTAAAGCATTTTACGTCTATTAATGTTATTCGTGCAAAGGTGGAATACTTGAAAGCTACATCATTTCTGTGTTTAGAAGCACTAAACACAGTAAATCAGCGAATAGTTTATAATCTTCTATATATTACACACTGTGCTTTAGCTGAAATTAAGCTTCCTTTAAATAATTAAATTAAATAATCAAACTGTTTGCATCTAAAAATCTCAGTCACTGTCTCCTCAATCTGAAAACTATGAATCTAGCACAAATGTAACTTTAGATTTCAGAGTGAAGTTTGTTATGGGCGATTCTGATTGGCACCTTTTTGCACATAAAAGTTCTGATATTAGTGCATTAATAAATGTATAAAGTTCACAATGTTTTTAAAGCACAACATCTGGGCCATTGCTTACTTTGCTTGATGTTTAGTTAGCAGTATCAGCTTACTGCAACGACCCTTGACTCAGGCTGCTATGTATGCAGATACCAATATATCAGATTGTGAGAGATGTATTAGATGGGCTATAATGATAATCCATTTTAAAATGCTGTTTTCTATTCTGACTTTAAATAACCAGAAAATCTGGAGTGGCTTTGTATTGGTGTGCGCCAACACACTGAGTAAGAGCTCCCACCCTGAGGGGAGCTTTGTTTTCTGTCAAGGGGAAAAGTCAGATGTCAAATTGTTTATTGTGGTCGATCTAGTCACCACTTGCAAGCTTTCACAAACTTTAGAAAGTCACTTGCACAAACTGCTATGTGTCACATTGGTTGGTGCGTTTCCTATGGTGCAATGCCAAGGAACTCAAAGCAGTAAAAAAATGTTGTAGTGAAACCGTTTTTAACTTACAGAAATGCATTCAATGGAAATGATGTAATCTAACCACTAAAGCTATTCATTATCAGGCATCCTGTGCTGACACTTCACAAATCTTTTTAGCAATTTTGCGGAACAGCGTGCAGAGTCCTTGAAGAGTCCTTGATTTGCATGTAGCATGATGGGAGTGAGTGGGTGAAAAAGCAGTTGGTCTTCATGGAGCGGAGTCCAGCTGTGATGTGGACCTGGCTGCTGGGGGCTGGACTCGTCCTGGGTAATGTTTAACTTTGTTATCTTTCTGCTGTTTGTTATCATCCAGAGCAAGCTTTCAAACAATATGTGAGGATGTGCTGGTATTTCTGGAAGTGTCGTTAGTGGAACCGGGTAATAATTTGTTATTTAAATGACAGAATCTCACCAAGCATGAGAAAGTTACAACCACAACATGTCACACCACATCCCTCTACTTTCCTCCCAGGTTATTGTTTTTGGTTTTATACCACACAGTTTTGTTATTCTACTGTATAATAACCATATAACACCAATTAGCAGACAAGCTTATCAACAAGTGAGTGAATGCAGTGCTGCACAACATTTTGTTATTTCAGCCTGTGAAGACCAAAACACGGAGTGCGTAATTCGGCAAGCATTTGTCGGATGACTAGAAGCATGTCGTAAGTGGCACATTATTATCATTATTAACATAGGTGACAGGGGACTTCAATAGCAGTAAACCTCCTGTTGCAATGCAATGTTCCGCTTGCAAGACATTCACGAAAGTGCTACTTGCACTAATGCACACCCATCACACGAGCTCTGCCTATCAGCAGTGTCCTCCCCCAGCAGTGGAATGCATCCTGCCACTCCAGAAAAACAACTGAGGAACAGCTTGGAAACACAACTAAGAGCCCAAAGTGTTGAATCTCTCTGCAGTCTCCCCCTTAGCCCAGTCCACTCGACCATCTACACTGGAACTAGCCTGATCCATGCAGGCCCCAGTGTGTAACCCACTGGATTCAAAGGATCCCCGGTATACACCCTGAGGCCAGAAACTGCAGTTCAGCCCCAGATCCCCTATTTATGCATCATTGGTTTAAAGTTTTGCCTCTTTTTAGCTTTGATCTTGCAGTAGATTGGTGATTTTGAGACAGCTAAAAGTCCCCAAATGTCAGCATTATCATCATTCTGAAGAAATCAGTCCACCTGTACCAGCGTATGGTTATATTGGCTTACGAAAGGTATACCCAGCAGGCAAAATAAGCTATGGAAGTAGGAGCTAAGAAAGGATATTGTTCCGTCTTGCCTGAACTACTGTTGTAACCTCAGGGAAAATAACTTATAAATGGCTGAAAGCTAATTAATTCCTCTCATCATCTCTTTTTCACCATCCCAAATTTGAAAACAGTGAGTCAGACTTGGGCAGTGGAGGTTTTGCATACCTGAGTCACATGAAAGCCTTTCTCTGCACTGTGTTCACACTCTGAGATGATAAAACAGTTGCACTGATGCTTAAAATGTGTGTAGCCTCATTTTTTTTGAGCACACATAATCAATCAAAACTTCAAAAGAGACTGGCATCAGTATAAATCCTGCTAATAAGGATGAGTCTGCTTAATAAAGGTACCGCAAGGCACGAGTGCTGACATGCAACGACTGGCTCATAGATAAAAGGTCCTTATTTTAGTTAATTTTTTTTAAATCCACTTTTACCCACCTACACCACACAATAAACTAAAAACCACACTCATCCTTATCAATGAACTGCAACATGTGCTTTTCCATGTCATTAACTCCAGCCACTCTCAATTCTTCCAGTGTTTTGCATTACAACATCCACGGCCTTCCCCCGACCCCCTCGGCTAATCGGCTGTGTGTTCATACATCGAGTTAATGTCACCTGCCACTGGGAGCCCGGAGACACGCCAACAACGAAATACACTCTGCAGGTTGAGAAGATATCTAGGTGAGACAAAATGTTCTTTTACATAAAAAGAAAGACAAAGACATTTGAATAATATGTAGATAAGGAAAGTGAAAAAGAAACAACGTAAAAATCTATTTTTGTGATCATGATTTTATAGACCCTAATCAAAGTATCTAATCAGAATCAGTTGTTAGGTTTAACACAATCGTTTGAAAAATGTTATACTACAGTATTTTAATTTTGGAAAGGCCATCACACACAAACCTTCAGTGTTGTTCTTCGGAGATCTGATGCCTGCAGCCTATAATTTACATCATTTTTCATATTCATCACCCTGTTGACTAGGTCTTTTGTTTCCCATTTGTTTTTTTCTTGTTCTTTCATTCACTCAAGTTCTCCCTTTTGATGTATAACATTGGTAGATTAACCCCACTAACCCCATGAAAAGTCCAAAGTACCACTCAGTATTTTTGAAGATGTATCTTTTTAAAAAAAAATGTTTGAAATTGATCATTTTCCATGTCTAAAAAAACAGCTTTTCTCAATAAAAGAACTCGCTGTTGATGTCTTTTGGGGCAAGGGTGGCAAAGATGAAAAACCCTTACAAGTATCAGCTTTTGGCTACACGGAAAACCTTTTGTATTTTTAGTTTTTTAATCTTGCATCTTTATTCTACGCTGCAACAAAACATTCATAGTATAACAACATGAAAACATCAGGCATGTTATCATTAACCTCCAGGGGACTTAACACCTGAGCTCTGCTCAGCTTTACGGGGCTGTAAGGGAAAGTTTCAGGTCATTGTTTCACAGACTGACTCATAATTTTACTATTATGATGAACGCTTACTGCTCTTACCTGTCTTTCAGGCTACAACATGCAGCTGTTTGCAAAGAAAAAAATGCCAGTTAAAGAAACAAAAACGTATAGCTAAAAGCAAACTTATACAAGTGTGAATGTTGCACTTTTGCCAGGAGACCAGTAACAGATCTACAAGTAAGCGATAAAGCTTGTCCATAACTGCTAATTGCGCTTGTCGGTGCGTTCAGCACTTGTGTGCGCTGTCTGTGAGTGGAAAAGACAGATCAGTTATTGCAGGTTTAATTTGTTAAAGATTTGTGCTACTAATCATTCTGTATGAGTTTGCGTCACCAGTGCCAAATCCTTTATCACTGTTATTATTAAAGAGAGGTCGTTATTAGAAAGAGTTTGACAAACGGCTTTAATTTAATGTTTTAATGACTGTGAAATTCAACTTGAGAAATGGCTTTAGGTCCTTTAAAAATTTCTCTGCAGCTGCTGCTAAGCAGGAAGCAAACTGTCTGATACTGTCTTAGATGTAAGTTTGATATCTGTCATGGCAGGCTCAGTTTTGGGTTGCTTTTTTTTTTCATTGCATTTTTCTTCTCAGTGAGATGTTGCGTGTGCTGCTTGTCAACTTAACATTGATTTAGCAATCTGCAGTGTTTATCGGTGCCTGTGGTGGATTCAGAATGATCCATTTCAATGAGATTACCCAAGTCTCCGTTCAGCAGTGGTCCACCGTTGTGCTTTGGCACGCAGGCAGGTTTGCAAGTTGGAGCTGGTGTTGTTGTTTGATGGTAATTCATTGTGCCTATGCAAATCCTTTTGTGTGTAATCACCTTTGAAAATGACATCCATGTGAGGCTTTGATGGGAGATTTGATATGCTTCGATGGTGGGAGACACACAGTTTCCACTTCCTCTGTGTTTTTTTTGTTCTAGTTTTTTTTTTTTTTTAAATATATATATAGCTGATATTACTGTTCAAGATGTATGCAAAACTGTGAATTTGAACCTGAGCCTGACACAACATGTTTCTGTGTGGGTTTGTGGTTTTATGCCTTTTTTGGTACATCACTCTCTTTTCGTGTAGTAGCGCTCCGTTGACCTTGTAGGTGCATGTTTGTTTCTGTCAAAGTGCCAACAGGTCTGCAAAAAAGACATACACCTGCACCACGCATGAAACCACCTGCACAATAGGACTTAATGGTTCAACTTCAAGGATTGACTTTTGCATCACAGTCACAGCACACAGTGGAAGCGAGAGCTTTTCATCGCACCCTCGATGTCAGCCCGGCAGGACAGAAGGTACGGTAGTTTTGCTTTCCCTTTGCTTATCCCATCTCATCGCTCATGCCTCACGTCTCTCTTCCCATATTTCTCAGTGATGCTGCCTCCAGCCATCCTGAACAACGTAACAGAAGTTCGTGGTTCTCCTCAGTGTCTGAATGTAACTTGGAGCCGCGTATCATCGGACTTTCCTGTGTCTAACAATGAAATCCAGCAGGGAAATCTGAATTCACAAATTGAAACAGCGACTGAGCAGGTGAGCCGCTACTATAACTGCATCCACATGCAGAAATAACACGTTCATTCATTTTCACACCTGCAGAAACCAAAATTTCACACATCCTGTTTTCTTCCTCTTCAGCACCACTTCTGTGTTTAGAATGTTACATTTTTAAGTAGCAGAACGTAGGAAAAAAAAGTACAAGACTTTGTTGGAAAGCATAATAAGTCACTTTAAATATTTACTGATATTAAATTGTTTCACAGAACATCAGACTGTATGTATTGCATCTTCACAACCTCATTCTTTTTTGTTTTTGCTATACAGCTTGATTTTCAGATCAGAAATGTGACAATGAAAGGCTACTCTGTCCTGGTTTGTCACCTTAGACCTGATACAGAATACACCATCAGGCTTCGCCACCGTTACCGTGGCCCTGCAAGTCCATGGAGCATGTGGAGCAAAGCACTTCAGGGAAGGACAGCAGAAGATGGTGAGAGGAAATGGTTGCTATGCTTCTGCTTAAATCCACTGTTGAATCCTAGTAATAATGATAACTAAAGGAAGATTATAAAAACAATCATAAGGGGAGGAAAAGACCCCTTTTAAATAATTATTTTCCATCTATTAACCACTCATCTTGGTTGTGGTAGCACGACAACTCCATCCCTACATATAATAATAATAATAATAATAATAATAATGGATTGCATTTATATAGCGCTTTGCGGGGCCCTGAAAGCGCTGTACAATTCCACTATTCATTCACTCTCACATTCACACACTGGTGGAGGCAGCTACAGTTGTAGCCACAGCTGCCCTGGGGCAGACTGACAGAAGCGAGGCTGCCATATCGCGCCATCGGCCCCTCTGGCCAACACCAGTAGGCGGTAGGTGAAGTGTCTTGCCCAAGGACACAACGAAAAAAATAAATAAATAAATAAATAAATATATATATATATATATATATATATATATATATATATATGAAACCACCTGTATGTATATATATATATATGTATATATATATGTGTATGTATGTATGTATATATATATATATATATATATATATATATATATATATATATATATATATATATATATATAAAAACTGGGAAGGATATTCTCTTCCCAGTTGCATACGTTTAAAAAAATGTCCTTATCAATTAATCATATTGCCTCATCTCTCTCCTTTACAACTGATTGTACTCCAGAAGGAGCTTGTTTTCCATTCAGTGCTTCCTCAGCACAGCTTGCTCTTTTCTACTCTCCTGGAGCACTCAAAGTGCTTTACACAACATGCACCCATTCAAGAAAGCACTTTTTCTATGCATTTTCTATCCATTCACACTCTGATGGATGGAGGTTAGTGGGGGTTAGTATCTTGCCAGCCAGGGATCAAACCACCAACCTTTCGATTAGTACATGACCTGTTCTACCGAATGAGCTACAGCAACCCCACTCAGTCAGTCCAAAAACCAAATGTGGACCAGCTACACAAACCTAGATGAACCTTCTAGAATCTTTTCGTGTGTTCCTCATTTCAAATGCATTCATATGCTTTTTTACGCTCTAGTCTATTCTATGGACAGTGGGAAGCTGTCAGAAAACAAAGATGCAGAGAGACGGTTATTATTCATTTATTTATATTTGTCTTTCAGTACCAATTTCCAGGTCAGCGACGTGCAATCATTTTTTGAGATGTTTGACTCTACCTAACATGTAAATGGTGGACCAGCTGCCACTCAAATAAACCAACCAACCCTCAGTACCATGACCTAGAATGAATACTTGGGCACCGCTGTCTATGCCAGCTTCCAGGCTCTGTTTCTGAACTAGATTTGATTATGTGGCAAAAATAACAGTGAAGACAGCTATGTGTTAAAGACATCATAGACACAGTTCAAATAAACTGTAGTATCACATCCGTCATGTCTCCCACCTGTGTTGTTATGTGTCAGCAATTGCTGACACATATGGCAAAGAGCTAGATCATTCCTTAACAGGAAGCACCCCTGCTGTAGAAGACAAATCTGAAATTGTTCACTGCCAGCAGGTAGGTTCACTGTGTCCCTCGATGTTCTGGTGGATCTCATTCAAATTATTTTTGTATGTTTTCCCCTCTTTTCGCCTATCAGCTCCATCTGCAGCACCAGTATTCTGGAGACGAGTGAAACAAAATCACAGGAATGGATGGAGACTCGTCTCTCTGCTTTGGAAGGTATGTGTGTGTGTGTTGAATTGCATGGGAGTTTGAGCTCGCTAGTTTAATATCTTATGACTATCACTCTGAGCTTTACCGTTTAATAATCTTTGGGATTCAATTTGTTTTTAATCACCATTCCACCCTTACGCTGTCTCTAATTTCTTTTATGTCTCCCTAAACTTACTCGTTTATTGCATTTAAGTTTGATTCAGGTTTAGAGTAAGACTGAGACAGCCGGAGAAAACGGAGAGAGAATTTAAAAATCTGTGTTTATATAACAGGATTGCTTAATTAAAATCTCAGTAATATTACATCGCTTTGAGTCACTGCTTTCTCTTTCTGTTTTTAGCCCTTACCTCATTTTCTGGCCAATGGCAAAATTATCTTTTACAACGTGACTTGCCAGACAGAAAGCACTCCGATCTTGAGTGATCATGGGAGTTGCAAATATTTGCACCATTTGAGTACATCCTGTAGCTTGCTCCTTCCTGCTGGGCGTTCCTTCTGCACTCTGACGGCCTCCACCTCTGCCGGCGTGTCACCAAAATCTAAGATTTTGCTGCATGGATCCTCTGAAACAGGTAGGCATCGCTGTTTAGTAAAAGATGACTTTCTGCATTATTATCATTATCTGATAATCACTGAAGTTGCACACAGTGGACCAAATGCACTTCTAATACATTGCCTTTGAGGATTATACTAAAAGTAACTTGTTAATTATTGGTCTCTGACAAATTTTCCAATTAAACGTGACATGTTTATTGACACTGCGACAGACTGGCGACCTGTCCAGGGTGTACCCCGCCTTTCGCCCTATGACAGCTGGGATAGGCTCCAGCGCCCCCCGCGACCCTGAAAAGGATAAGCGGAAGCGAATGGATGGATGGATGGATGTTTATTGACATGCCATGGAAATGTCATGGATCCTACATGTTTCTAATAATGCGGTTCCTACTTATAATGACGACATTTGGCAGTTGGCTCCCACAAAAGGTTTTTGCAGAGTAGTTAAAAGATCTCTGTCCATACTTTTATCTGTAACACAAAGATGCCCGAGTTAGGAATGCCACCCCACCCATTATTTCTCTTTTCCCTATTCTTTCCAAGTTGTAGACCAGAGTATTCATGTTTCACTCAAAAGAGGCAACCACATAATTCAGTCTAATGAAATTTTTAATTAAATAGAGCAAATTCACAATGACAGTTGCCTCAAGGTGCATTGTATTGCAGGGTAAAGATCACCTGCTGCGACCGGTTAGGTGAGAGGAAAGAGAAGAGAGCAGAGGGGAGGACAAAAGACACATTCTGGAAGAGAGCAACAGAGTTTAACAATCGCCAACAATTAATGCAATTGTTGTGCGTAAACACGGAGGGGGGGCTTCAGTGCATCACTGGAGCAGCCTGAGCCTATTGAAGTATAACTAAGGGATTAGGCAGCTGTCAAAGACTTGACAATCTGATTCTCAGTTGCTGAAATTGGACTTGTATAGATGGAATGTCCCCTCTTTAGCCTGAGCCTAGTACTTGAGGCCAAGTGATACCAGCTAGATATAGTTGGGCTCACTTCAACCCACAACTTGGGTTCAGGAACCAGTCTGCTAAAGAGGGGTTGGACTCTGGTGGGTATATATAGTTCAACGACTGCACGTTGGGGTTTTCCTCACTAAACGAGAAGGTTGATTCCCTGCGCCTTTGGGTCAGTCGAGCAGAGTACCTTGCCTTCTTCAGGTCCCTGACTGGAGTGCTGAAATGTGCCACAGCCGGAGACTTACTTGTCCTACTTGGGGACTTCAGAGCCCATATGGACACTGACAGTGTAACCTGGAGGATGTGAGTGGGAGGAACAGCCTGCCTGACCTGAACCTGAATTCAGGAAACAAAAATACTTAATAACGTGACACGCCAGATGTCATGCGGCTGATTCTTACTACAAAATAATAATAATAAAAATAATAACTATTTGTATAGGACTTTTAAAAACACAGAGTTTATATAATATAAACATGACACAATATAAACAGTATAAAGGAAAGACTGAATAGTGTGTTATTATCCATGTTTAAAAGAAACAGCAGACAAAGTTCTTTTGAGGAGCAAAGCATGACAGGGCCCAAAGAAGGTCTTTGAACCTTTCAAAGCCTTTTGGTGCATTTGTCATCCGCATTTGTTAAAAGTTAATTTGTCTGTCATAAAGAGATCTTTCATTGGCGGAAGGGCAGGTATTACACTAAAAGAAATCCTGTGAACAAATTAGACAGCAAACTGTACTAATAATGGTGCAGATACACCATTATTTACCGACACCATTGTTTAATCTGACTTTTGGTAATTTATGACATTATAAGGGACCAATATCAAACAAGAGACGCCAGAAAAAAATTTTAATGCACTAACAATTGTTTTTTAAATCCCGTGGTAGTCATCTTGTTCCTCCTCGCTCCACAGAGTCACCATCCCCATGCCACATTACTGCAACTCCTCTGAACGACAGTAGCTTGGAGGTTCGGTGGGTGGCTCTAACTGATGCATCTGTGAGCAGCTATGTGGTGGAGTGGTTTGCGGTGAGAGAGAAAAATAGCAGCACGCTATACTGGGAAGAGCTGAATCGCTACCAGACATCGCTGGTTATCACAGGTAATCCTGTAAAATACAACTCTGCCTGTTTAAAACTGCGGCGCCATCAATCTTAATATCCACTTATCAAGATGATGATTTATGAGGAAGACACAGAGCAGAGAAGTAAAGTGTATTTCACGTTTGATCTCTTTTCAGAGGGATTAAAGCCAATGGAGCGTTATGCTGTTTCTGTGAGAGCCGTGTATGGCGAACGAGGAGCGGGGAAAAACACAACGCTCTACACGTACACACGGCAAGGAAGTATGTAGTCTGTGCAACACTGCAGTTGTTTCATGCTGAGCTTTAAAGTAGCCTTTCAACCTCGATGTGATTGTTATTTGGCTTTTGAGGGTTGTGTATTTTTCTTACTGTGAAAAATACAGTAAGAAAAATAAAATACACAATGCTTCACAATTTCCCCATCGTGCGTGTGACTGCTACTCTCAAGGTCGTCTGTTAAAGATGAACTTTTTCTTTTTTTTAAACGAATAATTTCGCTGATACAAGGGCGAATTTCAAGTTGGCTCAAGCTCCACCTCTTAAAAATGTTCTTGCAAATTAGTTCCTAATATTCAAAGTAATCCAACTAACAACTGAAGTAGACTCTTTTACAAAATTGTGCAATTCATGTGGACAATGAATGAATAGTAGAAATATATATAAATAGTTGAATGGCAGCATTGATGCTTAAGATGAGTTGCACTATAATCTCTGTGCATTATGAAAGCCAATGACTTCGTGTTGTATGTCATGAAAACCATCATCACGCCATTGCTGATAAGGATGGTAAGGCTAATTGCAACACAAACAAGTCACTTTTAGCTGCTGTTTTAATTCTTGTTTTTGTTGGCTGAATCTGTGTTGGTGCTGATTAAGTCATGACAGTGATCTAGTGAGCTCAACACAGCATATTTTTCATTAAAAATAAATAAATAAAAATCTCCCAGTCCATCTTTACATATAGATAGGGTGATTAGACCCCAACAAACTAAATGCGTAGCAACAACAATGTGCAAACAGTTTTTGGATGTAGGCAGATGTGTTATATTTGAATGTAGCTTTGGCTTACAATTTTATGGCATGCACACTTCATTTCACATTTTCCCTTCGTGCAAAATTAGAAAAATAACAATAGCAAAAAGGACAAAAACTCTGTTTTTCTGAAAATAGAGTTTCCATCAGATTCATTAAAATCTGCAAAGCTTGTGACTTTATGGTAATTTGCAACTTTCACTGATTGGCTTCACATTAGATAGGCTAAAACTTGATTTCATTATAATAAAAAGGCAGACATTAGAAAAGTGCATGTTCTGCAGAGCCAGTCAAAATGAGGGACATTGTCTCAAGATGCTGAACAGGGGTAAATGGACTGGTTCTTATACTCTATCTGAACACTCAAAGAGCTTTAAAAGAATAGAAATGCTGCACACTGTCACGGAAGGAGGTCACCTACTCGTGGGCAAGATGATATCATCTCAGTTTCCTGGTGCAAACAATTTAATCAGATTGGATGGTGTTGGGAAATAAGGGTATAGCCTTTTTCTTACAACATGTGGTTTAGTTATCATCGCCATCATCGCACTGCCTGCTTTCGTTTCTGTCCGCACAGCACCCTCAGCTGGTATTGACGTAAAAGTGCAGCAGATCTCAGGCGGCATGGTGGAGCTCACCTGGAGTCCTGTACCTGTGGAGCTTCTTCGTGGTTTCCTCCGTAACTACACTCTGTACTACAGAACCAGAGACCAGCCCGCAAGGAGTGAGTCCCTGACACACATATGAAGACACACCTTTACTTTATACACAGCCGCACAAAAGTGATCAGCAACAAGATGAAAATGGCCTTACATAGTATCTGATTTTTGTTTCATTTCACTCCAACAAGCTGCAATTGTGTTTCAGTTTAACATCCAGCATCTACTTGGCAAACATAGATTTACTGATAATGGCAGACTTTTTCATGAACTTGGCACATTTTTAGTGACATTTCCAAACTATAATAGTAAAAAATGTTGTGAAATGTAACAGCATATCAACCATCAGGGTGATCATTTTTGCATTACTTTGGTTTGTGCAAATACTAAACCTACTAAACATCGGGATGTTTTTATTGTCACCATTAGCACGTTAGCATGCAGACATTTAGTCAAATCACCGCTGTGGCAGACTCCAGCTTCACAGGTGCTTTATATTGTAAAGACCCTATACTTGTTATTTTTAACAACTTCATCCCTGTAGAAATGAGTCAGCAGTTTATGAGTACTTCATTGTACAAAAAAAGAACGTGGTCCTGAGCAATAGTTCTCCATATTTGGCTGCAAATTGGCTGCTTTTTACAAATTTTAAGTTCGGTCCTATGTTTTTTTTATATTAATTTCTTTTTGGTATTGTTTCTCAAGCCATTTAATGCTTTTTTCCCCATTTCGTTATTTGAATGTAAAAAAAAAATGCCAAAGAAAACACAGTCATAAAATAATTTCTTTGCACCAACAAGGTGATCTCCTAAGAGGTATTAGCTGAAACTTTTGCATATTCTCAGAAAAAGGAGAGTGGGAGAGAAACCTTTGCATATTCTGGCATGATGTGCAGTGTGTCCTTGGGCATTTGAGGCAGCTGGACAAAGGAAGGACAAAAGAAGATGTGGCAGGCCAAAAAACCAAATGCTATCTACAGGAGATGAGCGGTATTAGTTTTGGTTCAACTGGTCATCAAATCATATTAAGAAGTTCAGGAGAGGTATAACAGTGAGTGTCAACAATCATCTGTAAAACACAGGAGGCTCTGTCACGGGTTGAGGCTGTATTTTAGCCCAATCTCAACGAGATTGATGAAATTACACAGAAACTTAAAGTCAGATTTTGATCTGCCTGGAAAGCATCTGATTAGGTGTCTTCATTTTGTCAATATGAGAAAAAAAAACCTCACACTGCCAGTGCAATATAAACATTCTTGGATAGAAACCCCCCCCCCTCATAGTGGCTTCCCCAGAGCCCCGACCTCAACATTTACATAGATACTGTATTTCCATGTCTGTTTGCATATGTTTCAATAAATTGGTGCACCTGCTTCCCGTTTTGGTAGCAAAATAAAAAGAAATGAGGGGTAAGACTTTTTCACAGTACTGTAAACTACCATAATCACACAGCAGAAACACGACTAACAATACTAAACCTTTACTATGCAGCAGTCTGAGCCACTTCATGTCCTCAGACTCATAAAAAACACGCTACGATGCAAAAGGATATGTGAAGCATAGATGAAAAACTACAGATTAAAAACATCATGCATTTTTTTTTTAAACACCGCTTTATTAAAAGCAATCCTTTTGGAAGTGCAAGGTTAGACCGACTTGTCTTTGTTTTCCTTTGAGGATGAAGTTAACCGAGAGAAAAGGGGTAAAAGGCTTGATGTTTGTTTTTCCTTCCATTTGTTATGACTTGATGGATCGCCTGCCTTTTATTTTGCCAATTATAGCTTCTCATGTATATTTAGGTGTTTTTGTGCCTGGTCACGCTCGCAGCTACACGCTGCAGAATCTGTCACCCGGTAACTACGCCATCGTCATGCTGGCCAATACTGAGGCTGGTGCCGGAGAAACTGGGACCATGGCTAATGTGCACATACGTGAGGACAAACTTAAATGAACCTTAAAAGTAAAAAAAAAAAGAAAGCATAAAACACACACACACACCTTTATATTTAACAACTTTATGTGTTTTTGAAGGCTCTGAGGACATCTCGGTAGTGATGTATGTGGTCGTTCCACTCGTGCTGACGATATTGGCACTGATACTGATGGCCTGCCTAGTACAGCATGGAATGTAAGATATCCATTTAAATATCTATCTTATACAAGCATATAGCTATTGCATGCAAAGCCTTGAGATGAATTTTTACGTTTTTTATTTACTTATTTATTTATATTTTCTGTGATGTTTAGTGTGAAAGAGAAGCTGTGTAAAGATGTCCCTGATCCTTCCAACAGTAGCTTGTCCCACTGGGCCCCTAAAACTACCTTGGAGGTAAATCAGGTTTTTTCAGCCAATCACAATAAAACCAATAATCAATTGATCCTTCTTTCATGTATTGTTTGAGTTGCAAAAGCCTGACATTTGTTCTGTTTGTTCTATGGAGCTTACCGCTATTCAAAAGGGCAGACTTTATTGTACCAATCTGTGGCTGCAAATACTGTAAAGCAAATCACGGGTGTTAAATAATGTTTGATGAGAAAAAAAATATGCTGCCCAATTAGTTGAAAGTGAAAATACCCGTTGTCGATCCATTTTAAGGCTACTGTCAGTGGGAACCAAGCCACATAATGCAAAGTGCCAAGAACTGCAATTCCTCAGATGGCCACTTGAGGCTGTCTCCCAAAGTGGGTCATTGGAGCCAAGCTGATAAACTCTCTGGTCGGTCACTTGTGAATTCAGAATTCAGACAGAGAAAGCAGTCTGTGCTTTTTTGCCATTTTTACAGTTCTTGTTCGTTCTGTTTTAAAATTCTAAAGTACGGTGCTTAGCAGTGGCAGTGCAAAGAGCTTGGAATAGAGATAGCATGTCTGACTTCATTGCTTTTCCCCCCCACAGAGTATGAATCCTCTTGTGCTGCCGGAGAAGCCTGCAGTCAAATACTCTGAAGTCATTGTGCTTGGTGAGCTGGAGAACTCCAGCCTGGATCAGGACCACAGCTATCAGGGTGTCTGTAATCTGCGAACATATTCCAGTCTCCGGTCTCCACTTGACATTAGTAGATCAGGGAAAACATTAACCAGAAGGTCTGCAACTGATCTTTCCCCCTGCTGCTCAGATTACTCCAGTGTCATGTTATCCAGACCGCTCCAGAATACTCCCGGGCCTCTTGTGCACCTCTCCTGTGACCAGTACGACTGGCAGACAGCTAACGTCAATGATGCTAAGTTGCAGCTAGGTGGAGCCAGCGAGCCATCTCAGTCACAGCCCAAGGATGAACAGAAAACCTTGCATCATTTTCTGCAGCACCATCAGATCCCCGCTTCCTTCTCTGACTTAAGCAGTATATCTTCTTCCGCTGTTTTACCTTCTCACACAACAGAAATCAGTTCCCTCAAGCATCCTTTTTCTCAAAGCAGCTTTAACTCATTGATGCAGTCTAACAACATCCGTCATCCCAGTGATTCTTCAGATAATTTCACAACATCATTTTCACAGTTTCTCCCTTCTATCTTTGTGGATTTCTCCTACTGTCCTGTGGAGTGTGATCCTTACATTTCGTCAACGATTTAGTGTCACGAAAGGGAAGTACATAATATTTATTCATCAAAAATGTCATTATTGTGTTTTATTTATATGTAAAGACACATTCATGCATCCACCTTGTGCTTATCCAGTTGCCGGGGCGAGTGTTGGAACCTATTCCGGCTGTGTCATAGGACAAAAAGACAGGGTAAACCCAGTACAGGTCACCAGTCTAACCATTTACACTCATGGCAAGTTTAAAATCACCAATTAACCTAACCCCATACATATCTCTGGGAGTAAGCTGGAGTATCCAGAGAGAACATACAAGCTTCATACAGAAAGGGCCCAGGTAGCCAGTGGACTTTAATCCAAGGAACTTCTTTCTATGAGGCAAAAATGGAAACCACTGCACCACCTTGCTGTCTCCTAGTCATAAAATATGGAAAAAATGTTGTTGTTGTTTTTTAATTTTTGTAGTCAAATGATTTATTATTATTATTATTATTATTATTATTATTATTTCAAAGTCAGGATGCAGTAACTGTAATTAGTAAGGTCGGCTGACAACAGTCCAGTTAACATTAGCCCCTTTCATGCAACTGGGAATTCTCCAATGATGGGAATGTTCTCAAGCTTTGGCTGGGGAATCTTTCCCATCAAAAAAGATGTGAACAGGAATCAGTTGCCATTGACATTTGACATTTAGGGAAATGCACTTATACGAGTTCTTCCTAAGAAGGAGATGAGAATGTGGATACCACTTTTCTACAGTAAATGTGAAGCTATACTCTGCAGAAGCATAGAAAGTGAAAACAGGGGGTAACAGCTGGCCTGGCTCTGTAAAGAACATCTTTTTTTATTTGACAAGATAAATATGAGCAGTCAAAGGGAGGATGGATTATTTATATATATATATGTAAACACACTCATTTGTGATTGGTTGGTTACTTTTTTGTATATGTTTTGAGGCATTATGAAGTTTTTTTCTCTCATCTTACTAATATACACGCCGCATGTTTTGGCTGTCAGTGCTGAGGAATGTTAATGCAAACTGCTCCCTGTATTTTAATGATGTTTGACTTGGCTGTTATTTTTCTATTTTTAGTGAAGTGATTTATTCTTGTTGCTTATATAGTTGAAATCAGGTATCTGAAAGCTTTATGTGTGTGCCTATGAAGAAGAAAAAAAAGCATACACTTACTGGGCGCTCTTTTAGATACACAAGTTCAACTGGTTAGTCTATTTAGCCAGTTCGGTACATTTAGACACATAGATGATAATCTTCTGAAGCTCAAAGTGAGCATTAAAATGGGGAAGAAGGGAGATTCAAATGACTATGGTTATTGGTTTTAGGGTTGGGCTGGTGTGAGTATTTCCAAAACTGCTGATCTATTGAGATTTACAGAGAATGGTCCAGAGAAAAAGAAAAGCAAAGAAAATATCCAGTGAGCAGCAGTTCTCTAGGTAAAAATGCCTTGTTGATGCCAGAAGTCAGAGGATACTGGTCAGACTGCTTTGAGCTGACAGGAAGGCAACAGCAACTCAAATAGCCACTAATTAGAACCAAAAAGCATATATCTGAATGCGCAGATGTTACGCCTTGAAGTATGCATCATACCTCAGCAGAAGACCACATGCCGTGCCAAAATGTTGCCTAATCTGATGAGTTTTGTGAGATTCACATGGTAGCATCAGAATTTGGAGTAAGAAAGATAAAAACATGAATCATTCCTCCATTATATCAACAATTTAGCCTGGTCATGGTGGTCTTACGCTTTTTTTGGCACACTGCGCATTGTTTAATTACCACCTGAATATTGCTACTGACGACATCCATCCTTTTATGACCATCTTCTGGTGGCTGTGTCCAGAAAATAACATGCCGTGTCAGAAAACTGAAATCATCTCAAACTGATTCCTTGAACATAACAATTAGTTCACTGTACTTAAATGCCCTCTGGTCACATTCCAGTAGAGAAGCTTTTGATGTAGTGGAATAAAAGATTAGCATCATTGGATGTGCAACCAACAAATCTGCAGCAGCTGTGTGATGCTCTCACGTCAGTATGGCCCAAAATGTTTCCAGCACTTTGTTGAATCTAAAGACCAAATGAGGCCTAACCCAGCACTAGCAAGGTGTATCTAATAAAGTGCCCAGTGAGTGTATATATATATATCTATATCTGTCTATCTAAGTAGGAAGATATAGATTTAGTTATATATAAAAAGGACTTGAACTAGTTATAAATACTGTGAACAAAGACTAACTAGACTGCCCATTAACAGCATTTCTTTCTGGTTTGTTACAGCTAGTCTAGACTCTTCTGCTACATGTTACCTATTTTCTGTTACACGCCTGCAGTTTGGAAAGTGGGCTCATGTTTTAAAAATGTACATGTCTCAGAGTCAGACCCCTCAAAATGCTGCTGCTGACTTGAGTTTATCGTTACAGTAGAATGAGCCATCTTTGTAACTGTGAATACTTCCGAGCTGAGTTTGTATTTGGTTTACATAATTTGTACGTTGTGAGAATTAAAATATCCACTTCAATGTATGAACCAGAATTTCAAGGGTAAAATATTAAATTTACTGTGTGCTAATTCTGTGTTTCGATTCATCACTCCAACAAAATATATATTATAGGCTATATATATATATATTCGTTTTCAGCAAACCACATTATAGTTACTGTAAAGGAATCTTTATTTAGTCTGTGTGTAAATTGTGTGTAAAATTAAAGAGACTAACTGAAATTCAGCCATTACGACAAGCAACGAAAGGCAAGAACATAAAAACAGAGATAAGAAAAACTTATTAGGGCCGAATTGTGAGATGGAAGCTTGTTCACATTAATGAAATTAATATTTAATTGTATACATTTTGATAATATAAATCACTCTGCAAGCAGCCTGCAAATCAAGCACGTGGTCAGAATTGTACACTTGTAACTATTTAAATAACAGCACTGTATCCTATTTTTGAAGTTGATTGTTGACGAGACAGCAGACACACCTCATCTGTGTCTTAAGGCTCAGGTGTGTGGAGACTTGAGCTGTTATAGTTTAAAGTCTAAGTGCTGATTGTGATTAAATGTGGACACCAAATGTCCCAAAACAACCAACATCTGTATCATACAGGGTGGTGTCTGTGTTCCGGTAGCCAGACCCACCTTGAGTTTAGTATAAATGTAATTTAACCAATAGAAAACTGCACATGTAGGCCATGTTTGGGCCAACCGTTCATCGTTATCCAACTTAGTTTACAGCACCTAGTGTTTGCCACTCATTTTAAGCGCAAAATAAAATAAATTTAAAAGAAATGCGTTGATTCCCTTACAACTGTGCGTCAGCAGGTCGCAAATCCTCGGCAAATGTGCTATACTTTACCTAAGTGACTCTCTGTTAGTGCGAAACCAGGCCAAAGTTGGGTGAAATCGCTGCACTCATTATTAGTTTGGAAAAATAAAAGGGTGTCATGATTTTATCCCAAAAAAAGTCTCAGCACTGGAGAGAACATTGCCGAACTTTTAATTACCCTGCAAACTAAGCAGAGAAAGGGAAAGCAGAGAGAAAGTCGGGGAATTTCCCTTTTTTTCCAACATCAAGCGTTTTGGGACGATCAATTATCTGTTAGCTTTCTCTTTTTTCTGTAAAGACAGACGCGCCCCCCGTGCGTAAAAAAGGCAGGCTAAACCAAAACGTGCTTCCTTTGCGACTTACCTGCCAACAGCGAAGTGTATAGAAAGACAGACGGACAGATAGACAGGCATAAAGGGAGGCGGGCAGGTAAGGATCACTGGAGGCGGAAGAGCGAGCAGGTTATTCTTTCCTGTTAGTACTTTGTCCACAGTTTCTCCAGGTGTTCAGTTTACAACCTTCCTGCCTGCTTTTTGTTTTTTTCCCCAAACGCGGTTTTTATTTATTATTTATAAAAGTGGCGAGCCGTCTGAAGAAGCATGGCAGAACATGGGAAGAAACTGATTCTGGTTGCGGTGGATATTCTGTGCGTCTTTGCTGGTAAGTGAAAACCCCCGTTCTGCCCTCCTCCTCCTGACAATATGGCTGAAAACGTGATTAGTTTCTGGACGTAGGTTATTGGCTGTGGTTTAATGTTCACTGGTGATTTTTGTATGGACGGAACAACAGCATAGTAAGTCCACATTAAAAGTTGAATGGCCTTCAAAGTGACGCACAGGGGATTGCACAACCGTACGCACAGGTCTGATTTATATATCTCTGGTAGATTACCAACATGTTGCTTCATGGGTCGCTGCAAGATTACAGAAACTTTTAACGCCCCTTTAAGATTTTACTCACGGATTCGGGAAAAACATCAGGACCATGACTGGCAGTGGTTTTAAAGTATGCAATACTGTTAAACTGTGCGAGTCGGTATCGGTCTCTACCTTGTTCGAACAAGCCAATAATCTTTCCCAGGACTGAGTGTGAAAGCTGCCTGGACTTCTGTTTATCTCTGGGTGTCACTGCACCGATTTCTTCACTGAAATGATCGGGGTTAAAATAGGACACGCGCTATCTCATATCACTGTCAGCCAGTTGGCGACACTTTGTGCACGTCAGTGTATGCGTGCGTGCATCTCTACCTCCCCTTGATTGCATTCATACTGCCAAGAAGTGCAGGGTTGTTCCTCCTTTTTTAAAAAAAAAAAAAAAACCCAAAAACTTAAGGTTAAGAGGAAAAGCGAAGATCAGTGTCACTGAATATCTCTCTCTGACAGTTAAAATCCTGTCATGGGAACTGCTGAAAGGTGTGTTTATTTTTGCGTCTTCGTGTGTGTATGTGAAGAGGGTGGGCTCCAGAGACTGAATATGTCAGTCTTGAAAGACTAGAACCAAAATGGCTTGTTGCGACTTGCTGTGATCTACCACAAGGGCACAAATCCATTAATGAAGCTGGTATCTTCCAGGTGTTGGTGTCACACCTCTCACATTTTTGTCACCCTGACAGTTTGTACCACATGGTGGAAGAAGAAATCTGGACACTGATGTTGAATTCTCATGGTAGATTTTTCTGGAGTGAAATATGAGGGAGCAAGTGTGTGTGCGTGTGCTTTTTCAATGTATACATCCAATTGTGGACCCATCTGGCGGCTGAAAGGGAGGAATGATAACCATGATAATAACCATTCTGCATCCTGTGTGTGCGTGTTCGTGCGCGTGCCTTAAAGAAGTTCCTTGTAAAAAAATAAATTAAAAAAAAACCTGGTGGGGTGAGCTGGTGGATCTTATTTCAATATTTCGCCATAGTCTTTTTCTCTTTGGCTGAAGATCTTATAAACATGTAGAATGAACTTTTAAAACATTGAATCATTCTGTTGTGAAATCCCAGATGAAGCCTTTCTCAGGTCATAATTATTATGATTAATGCTGACCAAGGTTTTTATCATTTTCCCTTTTCTCCTGCTGACTAATCATGGTATAAGGATGATTAGTCAGGACTGTGAAAGTGATTATGAATTCACATGAAAACATGGTTATAAATCTGCAGTCGGTTCAGGACTAAATGCATATAAAATGTGGTGACTAAACTAATAACACACAAAGACTGTACTTCTCATTTATTTATTGAACACAAAATGAATAATCCCCCACCACAGTCCAGCCTGCAGAATATAAGTAAACCTTTAAATACGAATTTATTAGAAACAACCTCAATTAGATATTTCCTCATAGGTGCTTGTCAGGCTCTCACAGTGAAGAGGAAGATTTTTTTTTTCTCTTCCCACTACTCTCCTGAAAAAATAAACAGTGTTCAACATTCCTATGATTTATTGAGAAAACGTCTTCCTTCAAATCAAGCCTCAACATTTTAGTAAAGGTCAGCATTCAGACTTGGTGTTCCCCATTCATTCATGTATTTCTTTTTAACCATTTTGTTGCTGCATTGACAGAAACCTGTAAATGGTGTTTATGCAATATTCAAAACAGCCTTAAAACATGATGCTGCCTCCACTGTGCTTTAAAGCTAGGTTGAGGTATTGGTGTGTGTCAGATATTGTCTTGTGCATTTTCACCAAAAAGTTCATCCTCCCTGTACTGACTGGAACAGAAATGTTTTTAAAATTACGTAATCTGCCATTGGTCTGCGAGTGACTGCAAGTGTAAACTACTGTAATAAGGTTTCATCCTCTTAATTAGCTTGACTATAGAGGGTTTTGAAGTGTGTGCATATGTGTAATAGCGTACATGTCCAAATTAACTGATAGGGGCGTAAAATGCTGAACTGAATACTGAACATCCACCATTTTAACAGTATTTGACAGAATACAATGGGGAAAAAACTGAACGTGCACTCTATTAAACCTTCTGTACATACATATCTTAACGGATCCACATTCCTCCATTCGCTGACATTTTGTTTTGGCTGTTTACTACAAAGTTAAACTAATCCATCTGAAGGAAATGCCTGAACTCATTGCTTTTATCAGTGAAACTGTTGTAATGTTGTCTC